TATTATTTTAAAATAAAATTGATTGTTTATTTTTTTTATAAATAGAGTTTATTAAAATTAAGAGTGTAAAAAAAAAATGTATCTCGCACCGATTATTATAATAAAATTATTTGAAGCACATATTGCGCTTCAACGATGTATTAATCTATACTATTGGATTATCTTTTTTATCCAAATCTACAATGAATACATATATTATTATATCTTAAATCTTGTAAGTTATTATATTAATCGGGTTTTTATATTTTAATAATATAAATACTAAATGGAATTAATTTTAGAACACAATATTTATCTTCATTTATATTATTAAAGAAAGTTAAATTTTATTATTATTTTATTATAAATTATATATACTAATTTGTCATATTCTGTAACTTTTATAAATAGTTCTTTGTTCTTTTTTTTTATTTTCTATTTTTAATTTTTTTATTTGTAATTTATTTAAAATATCGATTACATGATATTCAAATAGCCTATCAACATATTATTAAAATTTACAATTATTTTTATTATTAAAATAAAAGTTTAATTATAAATTAAAAAAAAAAAATGTCTGATGTAGATTCAATGACAAATTCTTCTGCAAGCGAAATTTTGGAGCGAATAGATGCAGAAATCGCTTTAATACAACAAGGAAAAAATATAAACGATGGTTTGATTGTTCTTAGAAATATAACAAAAGAAAATTTTGATAATCACGATAAAATACTTGAGATAAAAGAAAATGAGATAATTGTTTATAAATCAATCGCTTATCAAAACTATCAAGAAGCACAATTTTTTAGATGTTGTCTTTATAAAGACTTAATGGAGACAATTATGTGGTGGTATAATATTCTTTTAGATAAAGTTGTTGATTATGTATTAAATATTAAAATAGTAAAAAAAGTTATCAAAGAAATCAAAGAAAAAATTCCTGGCTGGGTTTTGCATATTATCCAAACACAAGATGTTTTAAAAAAATTTCACCCCAAAAATTGGTTTTATGTAAAATATATTTTTAAGAGTTTTGTTCTTCCTCTTTTGTTCATTCCTATATACTTATCTAGAATTCCTGTTACAAAGGCGTTTTTAGATCTTATTTTGGTTTTATTCATTTCGATAATTTTTTTTGTATATTATACGAATATAGTTTTTAATTTTCAATATAAAATCATCATATTAAAAGAATAATTTTTAACAAGTTTTTTTTTTAAAAATTACAAAGTATGTTTATTAAAAATTATTATCTATTATTTTATTTTTTTTTTATTTTTAATTTTGTAATTGTTAATAGATGTCTGACGGAGAAAGATCCGATGAAAAAATGGTTATTGAAGTTCCTGGAGACGACAATGTAAGAAAAGAAATTATTTCTTATCTTAGAACTGGCAAAATCGATTATAATTACAAAATCGAGTCAAATTTTTTTACATCTGAAAAAACTAAACATAATGAAATAATTGGTATTTGGGAAGATGAATATGGTGATGAAGATAATAAACCAAAATTTAGACTTATGAAAGTAACATCGAAAAAAAATCATTTGAAAAAACAAAGTGTTGCTGGTGTTGAATGTGAAAAGGGAAATGGAAAGATTCTTAAAGCCTTTTTATTGTGTTATGTTGAAGATGGTGATGATGTTAATTATGGTTCGTTAAAGGGGAGGGTTGTTCTTAAAGGTATTGATAAAGATGCTA